AGCTGTAGGTCAAAAATACAAGAACAAAAGTACTAATAGTAGAATTATGCATAAAATAATGATCGCATATCGATTGAGCTGTGTGAGGAACGCGAGAGCTGTAATAACGGTGAATGAGTGGTTCGCGACAGCCGCGTGCGGCAAATCGGATACCCAAAATCGTTCCTAACGCCCGTCTCCCGGGCCGCGGCGGCTCTTGACTAGATGTCTCGCGGTTGATGGCTATTTGTCTTGTCGTGCAGGGTGCTAGTGGCCCAGTAAATGGTGGTTTCCCCAACGCAGTGATGGCAAGAGCGCACACAATCGGTTCCAAAAAGGCTTTTCGCTTAGGATGGGACATGAAAAAGTTTTACAGCAATGAAACAAAAAGTTCGACGTAAAAAGTTTGGGAGCCCGGCCGTTTAAACTAAAACATTCCAGAGATTGCCGTATAACCATAGCCAAGGCAACCTCAAAAACGTACAAACCTTTTCGAAGGTGTTCTCTTTGTCCCATCCAAGTAACACATCAATATCATGTGGATCACGGATAAATCGGTTTCGTTTATACATTTGCTTCCTTTTCTTCATCTGTAAGCAGTGGTGTTGCAGTATAGTCCAAAGTAGTTAGAGCGAATAAACCCACCTTCGGCTCGGCTGATTCATTGACAATTTCCTGGGTTTTCCGTCGGCCCGCATATCTTTTCATTTGCTTTTCACCCTCCGGTTTTGGAGAGGGAGTTTCAGGCTTGCGAACATTGGTTGCGTTTGCAAGAGCCTGGGAATAGGGTTGATTTGAGAACTTATGGGCAAGCCAACGAAATATTAAAGTTTGAGATCACTCTTTAGGACGCAATTATTTGGATAGGGAGCAGGCTACAGTCTCTGCTACCGTAGCTAGGGACCTCCTTACAGTGGTCACGTCTTCAATCTCACTGCACCTTGTTTGGTTCAATGATTCTTAGAGTCTTAGAGTGTTTATGTTCACCGTACTTTTCAAAAGAGTAGGCAGCTTAGATAAATAAACAAATAAACAACTAAATGTATATTTAGAGATGGTTGTCAAAGGCACGAGTCTGAGGTCCGAGTACGGTCGCTTTATACCGTATCCCTGCTCGTTTAACAATATGTAGACCAAGCTCAGAGCTCTAAGCTCAGCCTGGCCCGCAAATCGTGCAAAACCCTTACATTTCGAATTTTGGTAGCTGCAGCACCATCACCTTTCGGTCCAGGTTTCGCTGTAGACTGGGCCGCCTGAAAATAAATCTTTTTTCTCATAGGAGCCGTGTTCGATATGAAGCCCTATCGCACCTCTTTCTGTTCAATGCCACTCTTGGCAGCAGCCACAGCAGCTCCTTGTTGTTCCCTACGAGCTTGGATTTCGGCCAAACTTTTCCGTCGCCTTGTCGCTACATTCGTGGCGGCCTTTAAAAAATCCCAGTGAATCAGTGGGAAGGAGCTGCACAGACAAGGAAAAGATACCTCAAACAAATCATAG